ATGGTCTTGACAGGTCAAAGACACAAAGCTCCCAAAGTGTCAAAGCCATCGAAGTGAAGACTGCTGAACAGAAGAGACCCTCCACTGCTGCTTCCACTCCTGCTCTGCACTGGTTTCCTCAGCTCGGGATTTATCAAGAGCTACTCTTAATAAAACAATAGCTCGAATCAGGCGCGGGTCACCAGAAGGGCTTTTTGCGGGGGTGAAATGATACTGCAGAGCAAGACTTTGGGTTGCGTCCATTGTGGCGCTGACGAGTTGGTGGAAGCTCTCAAAACACTTGGAATAAAAATTGTTCTCAAGCCCCTGCTGACTATGTTGTTGCATTCGTTCGGCCTTTAACTCCAAAATCGACATTTGGGGTTGTGTTTTGCATTTTCTCAGTCGCGGCCGTGTGGTTTCCAAGGCCATAGTAGATCCACGAGCCATAGAGATTTGGTGGTCCAGTAGATTTATCTCAGGAAGAGATGGCTTGATTTGTAGGGTAGTTGATATGGTAGTCATAGGGATAGCATCTTTGGCCGTGTCGGTGGATCGACTGTAGATGCTTGAGGTGCGACCGCGAATTTGTTTTTGAAAAGGGTTCATCGGATATTGATCGCAGACTGACGTCTCAGGTCACTGAAACCGAGGTTGGGCTCGAGATTCGCAGGCTTTTTAAGAACGAAAGGTCTGTTTTATGGGCGAACGCAGTCGATTGGTGCTCTTGGGTACTTTCTCAACGGCTTTCCTCACATTCTCACCACCGTTGGCGGACCTCGAATTCTTAGTCGTAGACCGGCACCGGCAAAGCACCACGCCAGCCTGTTGATAATCCCAACGATGTTTCTAGGCGCCAATTCCACCGCCATTCTAATAGGTGGTATATTGGAGACGGCGCATGGTTATTTGCCACCGAGTGACCTTCATGACGATTTCTTTTGCAACGCCCTACTCGCAATATCTGGATTTTTACAAACAAGGGCGGCCATCACGTGTGTGCATAGGGCGGAAGTACCGACACAGCATGTTGGAGTTTAGACTCAGACAGCCTAAGCATAATATTGATTTGTTTTGATTGTTCCCAACTAGTTTTATTGCCAGGGTAAACCAGAAAGGCAGAAAGGGGCGGGGAAAGCGGCAGACGAGACTGGGCACGGGCCCCGTCTTATTGGATGCCAGAGTTTCCTGGATTTCCCGTCTAGCCTAAATTGAATATTGCTTCTAATGTTAACTGTCAACAAAAGAGGGTCGCCATTTTACTAGTGCGCCCGAGGAATATTCAGCACCCCCTCTGCCTGACGATCGTAAGGCTCTCAAAGACCTTACTAAGCTCATCCCCTATTTATTCTGCACTTTCTTTAGTACATAAAAATCACACTCTCAAGTACTCAATTGGCTATGCCCGTACTAGTCCGTACTGTAACGACCACGTTCCGACATTAACTTTTATCTTCCTAGAACACCGAATGACAAATCCACACAGCTCACAGCCGCCGTCTTTTCTGCCCAACACTAGGCTCCAAGAAGTGGACTAGTCGCTTTGACCCACGATAGCAGTAACAAGATCTCCGTGGCGGCCAATCTAGGATTTGATGATCTGCACGTCCAAACTGAGCGTAAGCCTTCTGCTCATCGAGAAATTCTAGCGTCGATTTGGGGAAGCCGCCAATCTTTTCACGAAAGGTATCATTGGCAATCTCAATTGAGACTCTTTCCTCAAGGCTGGTGACCCGAAAAGCAACGCCCTTTCTGAAATATCCACAAAGTTGGCAAACGTCCACTGGATCTATGCTTCCCAAATCGTGGTCCTGACCAGACCGAAACCTGGCGCCGGGGAACTCCACAAGAACTCGCTGCAGGATGTCGGTAGGGTTCGGTCGTGAACAAAGAACAGATCCCCGACAAAAAAGGAAGCATTGCCCTGGACGGGAGATTCATCTAACTCAAAGAAAAACATGGCCGACGCAAGAATGCTCCTCACAAGCTCAGCTGGCACTGCAAAGTCCATATTCGACATTATTTCCAGCGAGCACGTATCGTCTAATGCTGGCAGTATACCATCGATGGCCTGGTCCAGCCGGAAAATATCGGGTGTCGACGAATGGGGAAGATAATTGAGAGCTTCCAAAAACCCTTGCCTTCCATCCATAGAGGGAGAAGACATCATGGCCCGAAACAGTCGGGGAAGAGCACCCTCCCGAATGCGATCAAGAAAACCAGTTGAATCGCTGGGGCTAGACTTGGAGAATCCTGTTCCGACAGATAGGAGAAGGTCGTGCCTTTTCGCCATGGGCCAGATAATGCCCGACTCTCGCAAAGCAATGGCTAGCGGATTGTTCGCCCGAACCCCACCATCTTGCAAGAGACCAAGGCCTGGCAAAGTTTTGGTCTGGAAGTAACTAGAGAGTGTCAGCGCGATACTATGTCTCATGGTGTCTGAACTCACAAGGGTGCTGCAACACTGCATACAGCTCTGTCAAAAGCTAATCGTTAGCAAAATTGGCTACTACTATTCACATTGGGTGCACTCGGACAGTCGACTTACGCTTCCCATAGAAAAGGATCCTCCCGGTCATCATGTGGCGCCAAAAATTGATAGGCGGTATTTGCGGAACGTGGGCTTTTTCTTCGGTAGTTGGCCAATACGCAGGCTTTGCCATCGGAGGTACGACTTGCCACAATAGCGATCCGGCAACCCGCAGGGCTAGCCGTGGCAACATCGAACATGCGGCGGATGGGCCAACGGCTGCTTTGAAAATTTGTGACAGCCCACCGGAATCATAAAGACCATCTGTGATCAGGTTGAACGCCGAGGCAAGCCACCGAATAGAGCGAGGAACTGGGCTATTTGAGGAAGGACGAAAGATATTTCGCGCAAGGTCGGGGAATGCATTGAAACATTGCGTGACTGAAGATTGATTGAGAATGATGTTAATAGTGGATAATGCGCCTGAATCGCCAGTTTTGTTAGTCTATCAACCATAATCACTCGGCCAGTGGTCGTACGTACCTACACTAGTTCCAGTGCACAGATCTGGTAGAGATGCGATCGGAACACCAATGCGCCTTTCTAAAGCTTGTAGAAGGCCTAGTTGAATCAGACCGCGCACTCCACCGCCATCTAAACTGAGAATCACCGGATGCTTAGTTGGAGGTAGTTGGCGGACAGTGACGTTGGACCTCTCGTCGCAGATAGGGCATTGAGCGACCTCGAAATGATACTCCCCAAGCGAACTTGGATTTCCGAAGATCACGATGCAGGTGTCACATATTGCATGTTTGCAGGGGAGCATATGCTCCGGGGGTCGACACAGACAGACCAGGCAAGTAGTGGTGGAATGAAGACCACCCCACCGGCGATACAAGCGATGCAACGTCTCCTTTCGAATGGCTGCTGAAGTTCTCACAGAGCTCAACTGCCCGAAACTTTGCACGAAGCGGAATGAAACGCCAGCAATATGGCCCTGGAACTTTGCGTCCCAGATACTGAGACATAATTTCTCATAAAATGCGGCGAAAACCAAGATGGGCGAGAAACCTGGGCAATTCAGCTTTCAAGTCGAGACATGAAAGTGCGAGTAAAAAGAAATCAAACTTACCGTGCATTCCAGGGGGTAGGCATCCATCAAGAAAGCCGTAGCTACAAGGTCATCAAAGTCCTCCCTTGAGCAGCTAACGGATTTTCTATGCTGGCTGACCTCTCGAAGACAATCGCCCATCGTGTCATTTCTCGTATAGTCCCCTCGGGCCCTTTCCAATAGATCAAATGTCGGTGCATCGAGGAGCCTTTGGTGGCTTTGTACATGAGTGTTCCAGAAAGCACAGAGGTGAATTGCTGAGAACCGCCGACAAGCTGATAGTTGCTCGGCCTGGACTATACCTAGTTGCTTGAGGATCAAGCTTTGCAGTGGCGCAAAAGCGACGCTGTCTGAAAGCCCGCTACGTGGACTGAGATCGAGAATCGTGACTGTCCCGGTCTTGATCATCTTTTGGAGCTGTGCGTATTCTTGTGTGAAGGCTTTTGTTGTATGCTTGCCGTCGGTCAAGACAATGACTATCTGCGTGGGAGCCGGAATACCCTCGTCGCCAATAGTCAGCTGTCGACGTGGTTGTTGGAGTAAGTTTCTTGCGGCCTGAATGTCAGCGGCGGAATCGAGGAACAAACACAGGATCTGGGTCCATGGTAAAACAAGTTCCCTCTTCACTTCTTGTTGTAGCCTTGCAGGGGGCAACAGCCCTTCTGCGCCCGTTATAGAGAAGCTTCGATGCTTTGTCGTTGAGTGCTTGAGCCATTTCGAGTCGCCCAAGCTGTGCTCCAGGCATAAACTGCTTTCAGCAAACAATATAGGGCTCTGTGTATGAGCGGTCTTGGTGCTGAGATGAAGACGAATCAAGCCTGCGGGGCCTTTGCGTGTGATGTTGTTGTATGGAAACAGAGCCCGCAAAGCTTTCATGCGGTTTGAACTACCGGTAAAATACAGCAGAGATGGATATTGACATTTTGGATAGGGTAATTCCTGCACAAGTTCTCCCAAGCGGTTGGTATCCACCAAGTTCCATACTTCATTCTCGCTGACGAGATCAAGCCAAGCAGCCATTAGATGGAATGGGAGATCTAAAAAGAAAGAGGTCTGCTGGAGGCTTTATATTCGGGGACTGGTCTGAAATTGACAAGAGGCGCTTCAAAGTGTCGCTGGGCCCTCAACTTGGAACTGGCGTGGTATTTTCTCGTCTCAGAATTTGATCTCAAGCGAAAACGTTTGGGCGCCAGGTTTCTTCTTCGTGTGTATCTGCAAGTTGCGGTCGTTTGAATCAAGTTTGCAACAAATGTCACTTTCTGTCAGACTCACCGCGAGACAAAGCTGCGGCTTCCTCTATATTAGAATGGTAGCAATCTTGCACTACTGACTATATAATGCATTCTAAAGCCCTTTCTTGCTTTGTGGCCTTTTCGTGATAGTCCCTAACATTCCTCGGCTATTACCTCTGTGGGCAACCATCTAAGTATGACAGGTAAAATGGGATCAGAAAGGATTGCCCTTCCTGCAATGAAGTCTGCGCTTGTTCCGTTCCGCCCAGCTGAAAATGTGACGCCTGCGCTGTCTAGAGCCAGCCAGATCGACGACCCGATTGAGACCACTTATGTCAGAATGCTCAGGGAAGAGGCAGAAATGGACATCAGCTTCAATATCACGGTCGGTATGGCTAATTGGGCACTGCTGGCCGGTTATCTCGTCATCCCCGGCACGTTCACTTCACTGCAAACTTCAAACCAGGTCGAAAAGGCTTTGCAAGTCAACAAAGCCGGTCGTACCGTGCTGCATACCATCCAGAACCCTCCATTACTCGGGATTGCGTGCCTTCTTCTTGTGAGTGGCATTGGAGCTCTCATGTGGCTGATGCACTTCCCAAAGCTCAGAGGAAATTACCTATGGCTGATCAATAAACTCTTTGTGTAAGTGAGCAACGCCGTGAGACAGATTCGGAGAGCGCGGGCTCAAGACTAAAACCGAACTAGGCCTCTATGCTTGAATGCTGCCGCCGGGCTGCTGACCACTGTCATCAACGTGTGTACCTCTCAAGGTGGAGACTGGTCTGTAATGGCAATTGTCACAACTGCTGTAACTGAAGCGATACTTTTTATCTGTTCAGCACTTCTGGCGATCTACAAATTCTACAAGTTGGAGGAGATTATAAAAGAAGATGAGTATATCAGGCGTTTTCGAGCTGCGATCTCAAAGTGATGTGAAAGTTTCAGACGGTGAAAGGGCTTGGTCACATGTACCACTGATCATTTAACAGTGGTGTTGGATTTGTGCTGGCTTTCATGCCGAGATGTCAATCCGTGCTTTTTGTTTAGTTGTAGAGTTCGATATTATTGTTCTGGTCCCTATACAGTTTTGATCACGCACCTCTATCATGTAAATTGTACTAACCAGAGCCCAAATGCTAGCAAGATTAGTTATTAAGTGTCAAAGGATGCTTCATAAATATAGTAATTTTGAATACCCAATGGACCGAGGATCGACGGAAGGCCACTCTCAACGCCATCCTTGCACAGGAAATTCTAGAAAAGAAACAAATCGTTAGGTATGATTTTGATCCCACGTAGCAGCTGTATTGCATACAAGACACATTTGCAGCTTGGGACTGACTTTTTGTCTCCATAAACTTTCTCAAATTGACACTGACCCAATGAATGATTCTGGAGGTCAACGCATCTGCACGCATTAGTAAAAAGCCTAGCGAAAGTCGCCGCAATTAAATCTCTATGAGGATTGATGCTGCTCTAGTGCTTACAAGTTGGTCGCTTATCCTTCCTCATGAAATAGCTGGCCTTACTCGTTATTTGGCTGGAGAGAAAAAATGTCTCTCAAAGTAAAGACCAACAAGAAATTTCCGGACAAAAAAAGTGATCATACTCAAAGCCAAGGCTCCAGAACTCGCCAGCAACTTATGGAGTTCATATTCCCACGTATTCCCTTGTCTCTTTATTCTGAGGCAAATTTCAAGGAGCTAGAGTGTAGCCAAGTTGATGCTCAGTTGCTCTGGTTGAAAGTTGAGCAAAATCATATAAACTTGAGGTGTACGCATTTCCTTGAAATTCAGTGTCAAATAATCCGGTCACGCGTTTTAACTAAGGCATCGCTTGATGTCTCGAAATGCATAAATACCCGCTATCGACCGCTTGAATTTTTTGCTGTTCGCAGAGAACATCGCGGTTGGCCATTCAATATGGCACCAAATAATGGTGGAGTTACTAAAAACTCTACCCCCAAGGCCAATAAATCTCACCTCCCTGAAATGGAGCAACTAGCAAACGATAATTTGATCTCTTCGCAAAAGATCGATAGTGCAGCTGCGCAAGCGTCTATTTCGCAAGGGCGCCACCCAACACACAACTCGTCAGACGCACACGATGGTGGTCAGCTTAGCGACAGTGACCCGATTGGCCAAGCCAACTCTTCGCCGCCATTGAACAGCTCAGTCATGAATTCTATCGAGAGAGACGACACCCCGATGCTTGATGCTGGCTCGGTAGACCAGACCGGGGCCGGGTCACACTCGAGTGGTCATGAACGCCCTCCTGCAGCCGGTCATCCACAGAATCACGATGATTTGTCTCCCAGTGCCCGAGGTACCACCGAGCCCGAAGAGCCAGAGCTTTTAGCCACCCTTGATCCCTCCAATGATGAGGAAGAAAGCGACGCGCTCGTAGATGGATGGGGAACCCTGCGAGGATCAAGCTTTGTCATTCTCCAGTACGGGCCTCGCCATGGAGCCAGATACAAATTCAAATACCGACATGGATATACCAATGCATCCATGAATAGCATGTCTGAATCGTCTCTGCGGATCTCCCAGATCAAAGTTAGTCCAGGAAGCAAAAACTGGCGGTATTCCAAGAACAATGTTGTCGGGATCTACGGAATTGCCTCGGAAGAAAGAAAGAATCCAAATAAAAAATACAAGTCTGATCCCTGTACTTGGTTGAAGATAAAATGGAAGGACCTGAAGTCAGAAGATACCGACAAAACGCAAAATTTTTGTTCTTGGATTCCCAGATCCGATTTCATTCGCTTCTGCAATGGCAAGCGCGCCGCAGATGCAAAGATCAAAGAGGTCTGGGACAAACAAGAAGAACGCTATCAGCGTGTGCTCCAGAGTGACACTGGAAGAGGCTCTGAAGATCGGTCTCCCACCCCTTGCCCATTGGGGTCAGCAGCGAGGCAATCACTTCCGCGAGAGCAAACACGACGTCTCAGTTCACCTGCAACTCAATTCGTATCTGCGGGCCAATATGAAATTCCCCCTTCCACTGCACAATTGCGCCCAAGACAGGGGTCGTCAACCAACCCAATCAACCTTGATGGAGATGAGGCACCTCAGAATCCAGTTTCCTCCGGCGCTGCTGTGAACTCGAACACCAACGCCGTGCAGAACAAGTCCAACCTCGCAATTGGCCAAAGAGCCATACGCACAGAAGCGGAATTCATTGCAGAAAGGGAGAAAGACGAGGGATGGCATGATCTAGACGATATCCAGAGAGAAACTCGCCTTACGGTGGCGAAAGCCATGTATGACCTGTACCGGGACACAATCGCCCAGAATATGCAATCCCAAAGCTCGGTCAATACCCCAATTGGAGAGCGACCAGGAGTAGCCGTCGCCGCCCATTGATGCCCTGATTTCATCTAAATTGCTAACGTTGAATTGGGCGTTTTGATTTACCAGTTCGATAAATTGATACATAGGTCAACAGATAGACCGATATATAGCTTTCTTTTATTTCAAATTGAAACAGATTTGTTTCCTTGTTTCTTCTCATGTGGTGTCAACATTCAAAACAGATTACGCGAAAAGAAATGATCAAGTGTATCTCGTCTCCAGAAAGTCTCGAGTTATTTGGTTCTTGATGTTGTATTTACAATATATCTATACTGCTACTCGGTGACGAATTTAACTTAACCGTTATATATGAAAATATGGGGAATGGAGTAAAAGCTTACACAACGGGATGTAATAAGCTTTCACGGGTGATATGAAATTGCTATTCTTGTACGAAAGGCTGGTGTGATTGTACTCGAGGAGTGACCGACTCAATTCCCCAAGGTAAGGGGTTTTGAGACACAACGAGCAAATAGTACGATAACAAAAGCACTAAGGAACTAACAGCCCGTAAGAGGACATGGCAACATGAGAGAGCGAAGTAAAAATGGTGAAGATGGTGAAGATGGTGAAGATGGTGAAGATGGTGAAGATGGTGAAGATGGTGAAGATGGTGAAGATGGTGAAGATGGTGAAGATGGTGAAGATGGTGAAGATGGTGAAGATGGTGAAGATGGTGAAGATGGTGAAGATGGTGAAGATGGTGAAGATGGTGAAGATGGTGAAGATGGTGAAGATGGTGAAGATGGTGAAGATGGTGAAGATGGTGAAGATGGTGAAGATGGTGAAGATGGTGAAGATGGTGAGGTGACCACCTTCGAGAGATAGTGCACAGCATAGTACATAGGGTTATAATAGGTTCGACACCTTGAATGTATACCGGAACTCTGCACACAATGTCTAGTTCGAGGAATCATGTTCAACGCAATGATATAGCCTACTGTCGATGTCCATGTGCAAGGGACAACGGTAGTTCTAGCGGTTTCCTCTCATTTCATTCAGAGTTCAAGACATAACTGAGCTAAAACGACCACATAAATGTGAGTTCATGCCCCGCTCGAGTCCTCACTATTATTCTCTTAGAATACCTTTGGCTCCTCAATTCCACAACGACTACCTGAAGAGGGACTACCTTCACGATAATAGACGATAATAGCCAGGTAAGGTAAAAGCCCCACAAGAATCTCATTTCCACCCATATCATTAACAGCTAAGATAAGGTCTAGTTCGGAGAGCCGTGTGCCATTGGGAGGCTGAATTAAATTCATCGGACGCTACATTATCTTTTAGCTAACTTCACATACACAAGCTGAGTAAGTATCTTGATTTATGCCCATTGCAATGCTATGTTGCAAGATTGACAAGTTATAACATCGAAATTTTACAGGCGACTCTGAGAGCGACCCTACCACCAAGACCTGGGTCAGAAACAAAATGGCGACCACTCAAAGCACAAACACAACGGGAACGATAGCCTGGAACAATGCCTTCGTGCCATTGACTTTGATCATCCCCACATTTACTCTGCCAACGGCTAGCACTGTGGAGGCCGTGACAGTGCCCGACTTGCCTGCTGCTACACAGCTTAAGCCTACGAGAGCTGCTGAAGCGTCAGGAAATGCGCCATCTTTGGCGACAGTTCGTGGACTGGGCTTGTGTTATTTGGCTTTTCTTACCGTGATGATTATTTGTCAAAGTCTATGATTCATCAGTCTGCAGGAAAGGATCATACCGGCGAAGATCATTGCGATATTTGATGCAAAAGATGCCATGCTTCATCAACTGAATCAGAGTGGCTATGCTGTTTTCCCAACCTATCGAAAATGTGCAACGCTGTAGGAAAAGCCAGAGTCCATCGGAACGTCCCAACGTAAGTTCATCCTATTCGAAAACCAAGAGCATAGAATTTGTCTTGGTGATATTCAGACTTTCGAAAAATGTCCACTCTGCCGTAGGCAACAAACTCTTAGCAATGTTGGTTTTTTGCATTTCCTCCTGGACGTCGAAGCCCGCGTGACCTGCAGCTTCAATGGCGTCGTTATTGGCCATCGCACCTGCCCTGCTGTTCCGTCCTTGTATTGTACTTCAGAATCCATACAAGGGTCACTCCACGTTATTGAAGCAAGGCTGCCACAGTATCTGACAAACTGTGCGATGAATCCGTATGTATTAGAAGCTAACATTGGTGGCTAGGGAAGTGGTTAGAAGACATCTAGCCTTGAAGAAGTAAGCAGAAACTACCTGTGGATGACGGCCCAGAAATTCCATGGCATGATCTGTCTGCTTGGCCAACACTAGCTCCTTGAATCCATTCAGGACGAGCAATTCAGCTCTTTGCTGCATCACCAGGTACGACAGCTTGCCAGCCTCTCGCGAGTACGCGTCGACATCCGCCATCAAGCTAAGGTTCTCCTTGGCTCGATTGCGACGCCTTTGTGATGCCAGAGCCTGGTGCTTCCGTTTATTCGCTGCGGCGCGTGAACCGGAGTTTTCCCATTTGAAAGGAATCCTCTTCACATTAGCGGAAGTAGCTGGCTTCTCCTCTTCGAGATCGACGCTCCGGCTCGCAATGGCTACTTCTGTGGTTCCTGGTGGCACAGCGGTCGTTTGCTGCTTTCCGGCATCTTCTGGGGACAACAGCAAGTCTTTAATCGATCTGTCAAGTGTTAGCTGGGATCAGGTCTTATCAGATAGAAACTCACTGTGCTCGAGGGATGAAATACTCAGATGTCATCTTGAGAGCTCGGATTGATGCCGAGGGTATGAAATGATCGGCTCAAACGGAGAAGAGGAGTACTATTTATGTCAAAACTTTCCAGAATTAACTCTAGACTGGGCATAGCCCATAACACTCTCTGCACTACATGAATGGAGCCCCACAAGTAATCCTAGGAATCGAGGAGGCTGTGTCGTAATTTTTCAAAACTTATTACAACTACTCTCGCTGCCTTCGCATTAGACCCCTTTATGTCCATACTATAATAGCCTGCGAAATGGTAAATAATGCAGGTAGAATTATACATGAACAAGGTATCTGGCGCGGGGGGGCTAGTCTTTTCCAATAGCATGCCTGTGAAAGGGGGAGGATTGTTAGCAAGCTAGAAGACTTTGACGAACTGAGAGAGTGGTCAAATACCACTAGGACCCTTTGGGACGCTTATTCATCGATCACCCAATTCCCACTAGTATTTGTACGGTATTCCGGGCAGATTCGGAAGGACGGTGTTGTAACACGCCGAAGCTTATTTGTATAGACCCCTGAGATCGTTCAACCGATCTTTAAACACCTACAATCAATCACCTGATTCTATTGGACATGTTCAGTACCAGCCAGTACATCAATTCCTCATCCTGACAGTTATGAGCCCGATCTGCCTGACTGTATAAAGGAGATATATCACCTACCTGCTCTGTATCTCGCAGTCAACGAATCCCCGAAGCACCCAACACGGTCGGATACCCCTGAACGCCCAGCCACCCCTTGTGAGCTCTTGCGTCCAGTGCACAGAAAATCCGGACCGACAAGCAGCCTTCGGAAACGTTTTATGAGGAGATTTTGAGTATCTGAGCTATATCTTGTGCGAAGATGTCCGATATCACGAGGGAAGATCTGATGCAAGTCCCGCTTGACCAGAAGCTTCAGTCGGAAGCGCAGTGGAGGGTCTGGATAGGCCATATCAAATCAGCGGCTGTTGCAGAAGATGTGTGGGATTACCTTGATCCTGAGAAGGCGGATGACGAAGTTCTGCAGGTGCCTGAGGCTCAGGAAGAGCCCTCGTTACCCCGGGATAACCGCCAGCGGGAGAGAGATATCATGGACCTAGAAGATGCGGAGCTCAAGAGATACACGTTCACTGTTCAAGCGTACGATCGCCGCGATCAGCGCAGACAGAGGTTATTAAAGACTATGTCACGATTAAACAGCCTCATCACCCGTTCGTTAGCCACGGATCATCACTACCTCGTCGTGGGCGAGGATTCACCGCGGAAGAAGTTGATGAAGCTATCCGAAACGTTTAAACCAAAGCCTCAGAATCGCCAGCAGCAACTTCGTCGTGCTTGGAGAGAGATGATCAGGCAGAGGCCTCAAGGGGATACTAACCACTGGTTGACCCAGTGGGTTAGCCTATTCGAAGAAGGCAAGATCGCGGGTATACCTGACTGCTCTAACGGAGACCATTTCGCGATACGAGACTTCTTGGACGCTATACAACCGGTTGATGATACTTGGTGCACAGCCTGGCGCGAAAAGCTCGCAGATCAGGAGAAATCTGTCACGTTTCATGAGGTTATAGCTAGCTACCGTAGCCGCCGGGGTGATCTCGCGATCTCCGGGGGACGGAAGCAGCCAAAGATAGCTCTGGCTTCGTTAAACGGTGAACCGGAGGCTAAGCCCGCGGAGAGGACCTACCGGAAGAAATGCCCGTGCGGTAACGCTCATCCTCAGCACCAGTACTCTACGTGCTTCTACCTCAATGAATCACTTCGACCGGAGGGCTGGAAGCCACGGGAGGGTACTCTTCAACGGATTCCTGAGTTTATCAAGCAGATGAGCCCTCAAGATCAAGAGAAGATCGCCAAAATACAGCAGAAGAAGGCTGAATCAGCTCACCTAGCTGGTACGGCACCGCCAGAGGGCCAGTCCCTAGCGTTCTTCGCTAACGATACTCGATCTATCGCTGCGTCAGAAGTGGACGATGAGCCACTCAAAGATAGCTGGATTCTTGATACCGGAGCCACCTGTCATATCTGCAACGATCTCGAGCAGTTCTTGACATACATGCCGCGAGAAAGCACCGTCAAGACCGGTCAAACAGTGACACCGATGATAGGCTATGGGCAGGTCAGGATCACCGGGAAACACCCTCGTACAGGCACTACGGTGTCTGTCACCCTAGACAACGTGTGGTACTCGCCCGGCTTCCATACAAGCTTGATCTCACTCTCTGTGATTGAGGATAAGGGCTTCTGCTTTAAATCTGATGAAAGAGCGATATTCAAAGCCAATGAAGCTGTTCTTAAGGTAGAGAGACATCACGGCCTATACACAGTCATCTACAACCCGAACCACCGAGCAGCGTTTTCCGTACGGCATTCGGAGAAGCCTCACCTCTCAGCAGCTTCAGCGAGGCGCTGGCATCGTCGGTTGGGCCACGCCTTTGACCAGAAGATTGAGAAGCTGCCGGAGATGGTTGATGGGGTCAAAATTGATAGAATCTGCGAAGATAATCATCACGATAATCCCGAGAAATGCGAAGTCTGTCAGCTAACAAAGTCTAAACGCCAAATCTCTCGAAGGACAACTGGCACACCGTACGGCAAGTATGGTCGTATCCACTTCGATCTCGTTCAAATTGACCCAGGGTATAACGGAGATCGCTGGATGACACACTTCTACCTCGAAGGCGTACGCCTCCACGCGGCCTATACCCATGAGAAGAAGAACGGCTGTCAAGATGCGGTTAGTCAGTTCGTCGCACTAGCTAAGAAGCAGTGGAATCTTCCGATACGTGCCTTCCGATATGATAACGAACGCTCTGCTGGGCGTACGGTGGAAGATTTCTTGTCAAATGAAGGCTTTATCATTGAGCATAGTGTAGTGGGCACCCCGGAACAGAACGGCTTCGCGGAGCGATCTGGGGGGTGATAATCACCGTGGCTCGTACTCTAATAGCCGATGCAGGCCTCCCTAAGAATCTATGGCCTGAAGCTGTTAGAGCTGCTGTATGGATCATCAACAGATCGCCCACGAAGCTACCAGACGGCCGGTGGATAGTCCCTTACCAAGAGGCATTCTTCAATCAGCCACAACAGCGTGTCAACCTCGCAAACTTGAGGATCTTCGGTTGCCGAGCGTACGTGCGGAAGCAGGCTATTCCGAACGCCGCGAAGATGGAGCCACGCGCCGAGATAGGCTATCTCGTTGGCTATGAAGCCTCGAACATCTGGAGGGTGTGGTTTCCCCGCAGAGAAGCTGTACGATCAGTGCGAGATGTTGTTTTTGATGAGAACGTGTTCTTCAATGCTCGAGAGCTAGAGAAGGAGCCGGTCCGCGATATATTGGAGACCATGCCATGGGCTATTGGAGACGAGGATACTGACCAGGGCACCACTGAAATAAGCCTGGATATACCTCAACCAGTTGGAAACATCGCGGACTCACAGGGAACAGAGCCACAGAGCTTGACTAAGCCTTCCAAAGAGAAAATAGCCCCTTCGCAGCCAGCGGAGCCTCAGCAGATGATATCACCGTCGCCCACGCCGTCCGTTCAGCCAGTGCAGACCTCAAATCCTCGCACGGCACCAGAATCAATCCCAGGAGCCTTCCCGGCACCACCAGACCATGATTCTCAAGATCAACTCGCTGAACAGCTTCAGAGAGAGCTCTCGGCAGCCACACTTACCCGAGAGACTCGTACTGCGCCCAGGGATATAGTGGGAGATGTTTCGTCTCGCAACATCGTGTCGGGCTCACGCAAGCGAAGATCTAGAGATATCAGCAATTTAGCCTTCTCAGCGGACGACGAGGAAAATGAAGAGGGGGTACTCGCTGCCTTTGCAACCGGCCTCAATGGATCTCATTCACATACAAGAACACACCGCGATGAGCTACCTTCGGAGCCTCAGAATTGGCGAGAGATGATGAATCATCCATTCAACGAAGGCTTCTTAGCAGCTGCTGGCCTCGAGGTCAAAACAATTGAACGGAAGGGCACTTTTGAGGTCATACAGCGTCCGAACGACCGCAGCGTGCAGGTGCTCCCACTAAAGTGGGTCTTTAACTATAAGTTCGATAGTGATGGATATCTGGTGAAGCTGAAGGCGAGAATCTGTGTCCGAGGAGATCTTCAGAAGCTTTCTACGGAAGAAAAGTATTCAGCTACCCTCGCTGCCCGTACGGCCCGCGCCGTTCTCGCTCTGGTCGCTGCGTTTGACCTCGATACACACCAATTTGATGCTGTCAACGCCTTCCTTAACAGCACACTGGATGAAACAGTGATAACGGAGATGCCCGAGGGGTTTAGGCAGTCTGGATATTGCTGGAAGCTCCTCAGAGCTCTCTACGGCCTACGGAAATCCCCAAGGCTCTGGCAACGTGAGGCCACAAAGGTCTTGACTAAGCTAGGTCTCACAGTCGTTCAAGAAGATCTTTGTCTCTTCGCATCGGACGGCATCATCGTATTCTTCTATGTAGACGATATAATCATCGTCAATCACCCATCTCAGCGCCAGCGCGCGGCTGAGATCAAAGAGAAACTTAACAGCACATGGGAATTGAGAGACATGGGCGAAGCTGCGTGGTTCCTAGGGATCCGTATTGTCCGTGACAGACAGCAGATGGCCCTCTGGCTCTGTCAGGACTCATACATCTCCTCTATGGCAAGCAGATATCACCTGACCACCCATCGTCGCTTTGATACACCCCAGGCACCAGCTACGTTGAAGCCGTACGCTGGGCAGGCCACAAAGGAACAAATTCATGAGTACCAGGAGAAGGTGGGTTCCACACAGTATGCTACTACCATCACACGGCCAGATGCAGCCAAAGCCGCCTCCACGTTAGCTCAGTTCCTCACGAACCCGGGACCGGAGCATCTCGAAGCGATCAACCGCGTGATATCCTACTTATACCACACACGTTTCCTCGCTCTCACCTATCGGCCGCGCCGATCCGATGATGATGAAGCCGTCACTTTCTTTAGTGATGCCTCGTTCGCCGATAACCCGGATCGGAAGAGCTCGGAGGGATATCTCTGCACAATCTTTGGCGGACCTGTTGACTGGAGGGCTGGTAAACAGCGTACGGTGACCACTAGTACTACCGAAGCGGAGCTGCTAGCGATCTCCGAGGCTGCGAGGACCATGAGCATGTGGAAACGTCTCTTTGAAGCTATTCGCTTTGATCCAAAGCACGAACTTGCTATCCGGTGCGATAACCAACAGACGATTCGGCTTCTCATCAAGGAAGCTCCTCAGCTGCGGACAAAGCTACGTCACGTTGATATCCACCACCATTGGCTCCGTCAGGAGGTCCAAGCAGGCAGGATTCTCATCAGATGGACCGAAACGAAAAGTATGGCTGCGGACGGACTCACTAAGCTACTGCCGCGCCAGAAGCACACAGAATTTATCCAATTGATGGGCATGGAGGATATTGGAAATCTGCTAGATTAGCAGAGGTTGTTGGGAATTGTGCAAACGCTGAGGGGGTGTGACGAACTGAGAGAGTGGTCAAATACCACTAGGACCCTTTGGGACGCTTATTCATCGATCACCCAATTCCCACTAGTATTTGTACGGTATTCCGGGCAGATTCGGAAGGACGGTGTTGTAACACGCCGAAGCTTATTTGTATAGACCCCTGAGATCGTTCAACCGATCTTTAAACACCTACAATCAATCACCTGATTCTATTGGACATGTTCAGTACCAGCCAGTACATCAATTCCTCATCCTGACAGACTTTTATTCTTATTGCTCCTAGGATATACAGGGCAGTTCATAGAATGGTTGTTGTGCCTAGTGAGACACTTCAATATACACGCGAGTCTATCAGCGTCGTTTGGTCCAGCGCTTGGAATTCTTTTCTCTCCCTTGGGATGATACGATTTTGGCTTATTTGCAGCTTGTATTACACATGGCCAGGAATAATGCCAATCATACAGGGTTTGCCATTGTTTAAACAGACTTTGACAAAGAGCATAATCCTTCATCTGAGAGCAATTTGTGCGATAGTTCGAGCACCACAATAGAGTGAGGGCTTGTGAGGTCGGAGAAAATAGCATTCAAGAGCTGTTTTCTGATGCAAAGCAAGCTACCAAGCGACAACGTTGAAAAGTCAAGCGACTGTGATGGATATAGTTCATCAACAGTTCACCATAGCCTGCTAATTTGCGGGATATCACTTTTAAGCTGCAGTGACGTAGTAATATAATGCCGTGACCAAGTGCCATCGTGATGAGGGCCAAAGGGGCATGTAGAAATCAAGGTTTGGCGATATAAATTCCAGTGTAATTCCCACTGCCCTTTTTCATAAGTCGCCAAACCACACACAAAGATGAAGGACAATCAGGTCAGCCCTAGTCGGCCTCCGACTGTGTGGGTTGATCAATCTGCTTTCTTCCAGGAGCAACCGAGTTCAAAACCAATTGCTTCTCCGGATATTCAACCCTCGCCGAGTCAGAAAATGACTGCCGCCGCAATCGCCCTCAGTTGGAAGAAATCACTCCCGGATCGCCCAAAGCGAAAGATCCCACAGCTGAACCAAAACCCATGGGATACTTTCGAACCTGTTGCTGCATCATCGCAAGATCGGACTCTGATCTTTGCCCGACACAAGACGATGAAAGGAGAGTTGGTGCATATCCAAGAACTCAAACAACAGTTCTCGCCCGCTACAGGTTTCCCAGAAATGATGGAACAAATCTCTCATCCAAGTTTCTTGAGGCTAATCGAGAGTTACCATCAGGATGCATCCTGCACGTTGGTCTGGGAGCCAACGGAAGTGTCAGTCAGCCACATTTTAGCCTCCAGCTGCTCAATTACCAACGATGAACTGCTTGGAATTGTCAAACCGGTGAGTCAAACACAAGAATCATGCA